GATATCTCTTTATACAAAATGCTATGACTGTAATAAGAAAGCCGTCATGTTTTTTTTTGTTTCTTCCTGTTTAACATCAATATGATTTGTACAAAGTATACGTATATAAGAAGCAATTACGACAAAGAAGTGTAAAGTAATTACGAATTTCATTTGATATATGATCATTAGAAGATTACAATGCATCGTAATCAAACGATATAGGATCATCTAGTGAAACCAGATTTTGAACTATCTAGTTAATCAAAGCAATGGTGATATCCAATTCTTTCTTTTCCTTTTGGCTTAATAACTGAATATATCTTATTTTTATATAATTTTTCCACAATATTGTAATTCGTTCCCATCTATATTTAAATCATAAAAGCTAATGCTTTTGAAGAGGTGTTAAGAGAATTACACTTACACAAAGGTGCGAAAGCGGACTAAGATAAACAATAATGATTCTGTTTTGATTTAAATTGCAGTTGATGTTATATTAGATCTGGAAATAAATTTGCAAATGGTAAAAATTGCCGGTCACACGCACAGTATTTGTAAATAGGCAATTAAAAAATAAAGCGTACGTTTGTGAACAGGGTGAAAAATGTTTCATTTGTGTGTCTTTGTCGGAGTAAACATACAAATCAACATGCATTAACAAGCCGCGCCACATTGCAAGTTTCGTTGCCAGGGTATGGGTTACTATGCTAAAGCACTTGTAGTATAAGAGCACGTTCGGCAGATAAAGCCGGTATCTTTTATATTGAGAATACATTCAAATGATTCATACAAAACGAATATATACATATGTGACACGTATCAACTTTGTTATTACAGGAAAAAACTAGAATATATGAGCCGCGTCACGACAAAACCAACATAATGTGATTGCGACCAGCATTGATCCAGACCAGCCTCACATTATGTTGGTTTTGTCGTGACGCGGCTCATATACTTTGTAATATTTGCTATGAGCGTAGACCAAGGCCAGACTTTGCAAACATGCAAGCCGGCCTGACTGTATGGTTTAGACATCGGCTTGATGTCGACGCTAGCACCAAGGTTTAAAACCCAGAAATCCAAAATGATCAGTGAAACCAATTGTATAAATGGAAAATTCCAAAAAAAATATCTAAAAACTGTAGAAGATATTATGAAATGAAATGGCTACGCGATTGATATTATTTAATGTTTCTATAGAAAGATAAATAATTAGATATACTGAAAGAATCGTGTTTCTTTTAAAATGATCAGATTTAAATTATTGCAAGTATAAGAACGCTCTATCAATTTGATCACTTTATGACGATACATTTTTTTTTTATCTTTTAGCGTAATTAAAATACAACCAAACAAAAGCAAAAAAGGAGAGAAAAAAATCATGTTTTTTTTTCACACACCCTCAATTATTTTTCATTTTTTCAAGCATCATGGATACCGCGAAATTCCATTCACTAAGATTAAAATAGATATGATTCTACTTTATGAGTAGGTGGTGTTAATCCTGTCAAATATATGATGTATTTTAATATATGAGCACCGGAAATTATACGACAAAGGGTATGAGTAAAAGTCTTGTTCTAAAGGTTTGGTGTTCTAGCATTGTTTTATTGAGTAATGATACTGGTAGAAAATCTTTGGTTACCATACATGGGACAGTTTATCATAATCATATTTTCATATGCATGTTTACCTAACAAAATAAACGACGTTAACGATATTGTAATGTTAGAAACAAACAAAGATATTCAAGGTTTTGCTTTTGACGGATTTTGAGTATGTTTACACAGAAACACGTGTCAGTAACCGAGGAGCGTTGACAACATAGAAAGTAAATGACATAAGAAAGCATCAAATTAAAGGTGTGTGCCTCATTTCGGTTGTGACCTTTTCTTTCGGCGTCGAAAACGTGTCATTAAGATTATTTTGTTTCATTTATATTTTATCAATTACTTATGTTTAATAAAATGTTTTTTTCTTTAACATAATGTTATTGTAAACAACGTTAAAATTCACTGGACGTATTTTACGTGTGTACCAAAGCAGCAAGCATATAGATATGTGTTAATATTTATGAAAACTTCATCGTTGTCCTAGCGAGTAAAAATGGTGTTAAATGTACAAATTAAGTTATTTAACTTATCTTAAAGCGGATTTTTTTTTCTTACCCAACTAGTAACAGGGTAGAATTTTTAGGCGATAAAAATAGTGAATCCGGACATATTTTGCAAACCACATTCAAAGTTTCTCCTGAACTGTACAATGTCTATACACTTCTTTAACAATAAATGTTTTTCCTCAAGGTATATTCTACACATCAAAATTCAATACATGTAACAGGTTTCTGACGTTTCTCTTATCTAAATTGCAAATTAATTTATATTGGATAGAGAAGACCATGCCCATAATAGTTGTTCATAAAAGAATCATAGTATACTGTTAGGTATTTGCTATAAATAAAGACAACATTTATGATTGTTTCTGCGCCGTCTGTATGTGTAGCTAGAATAATATTATATAAGTTTTTCACTTATTTTACTTTAATCCCGGAACGCCTTCGTGTTACATAAGAAAGTTTTGAAGAACAAAAATGGTGCTAATTTTAAAATAGCATTGATAAAAGTGAATTGGTCCATGATGGAAGATCTATTATGCCAGAAATAATTAAGTTGATAGTATTAAGTATCATACATTAGAACAAACCAGGAAAGAATTATATATGGATGTTGTTTGCAAGTGTTAGACACGATATGACATTTTATAATGTTTATGTTTGTTCTGTTCATTATAAAAATATAGCAGATAATCAAGTTTTCTAGAACAAAATAGTAGTATTCATCATATAAAATGTTCATATTAAATCCCCAACATTTTGTTTTTGAAAATTATTTAATGAAAATATCCAAATGATACAAATTTATTAATATTCGAATTACTTTTGGAAAATGTGCTGATTTTACTTCAATTCACTTTAAAAAGAGATTCACTTTAAAAAGAGATACATGTATGTATGTAAAATTATAAATAATGCATGCACAATGTTTTCTCAGTCGTATCAAATTACGTTATGACATTTTATAAATATAACTTTTTTTTGTAATGACGTCATATCTATTTTGGCTCAAGAAGTCTGCTTTATAAATTGCGGTCCTGCTACATCGCACATTAAGGAAAATATTTAAAAAAAGATCTTTGAAAAAAAACTATAAAAAATAATTACAAAACAGAAATAAATGGCTAATGATAAAAGAACCTGTACAATTTAAAACGCTTTCATCAACGATTGTGACATTTATTCTTCTTTGATAGCATAAATTGTTAATTTCTGTAAAACGTGGGCAAACACCTTTAGCCTTGTCTATGGGTTCGTAGGTACATCGCATTCGTAACATTTATTTCCATTGTCGGTTTTTTCTTCTGTTAACAAGGGCTGGATTAATTTAATCCAATGAAATTGTGTAACTGCGTCACAAGTTAAAGGTATGATTGCCTTAAATACCCTCAAAAACTTCCGGTTATCTTAATAAAAACGGAACTCTTGACGGCAAACACGTATCATAGAGAGAAAAAACACGCTTTAAACGTAACTGAAGAATAAACAGTAGAAGGATTTTTAAAAATAATTTATTTGCGTGGTAATTTTTATGAAAAATATTTGTAAAGCAAGTGCTGGCGAAAGAATGATTTCACTCTTGCGCAAAACTAAGCAAATTAAATAGGAAATAATGTAACAATAATATTTATGAAAATATAGAAAAAACATAATTAAAACTTAATATTACTTTAAAAAGATACAGTTTCAAGTCGAGAAGTCTTTTCTCTTAAATCAAAATATGCAAAATATTTTAGCAATTACATTTGTTTTTTTTTAAATAAGCTTAAAAATTTAAAACCCCGTTTATTTGAAAATATAAATCTTAAGCATTCGATTTTAAATTTTTTTTATCTATTTATTTTATAAATTTCTACAATAAAAAAAATATTTAGAAAAAGATTATTTGGCCGTCGTCATCGGTAGTTTTGCTTTGCATTTAAAGATTTTTTCTCATCTTCCCAAATGTTGTAGTGTGAGAATATCTAATCTATAATATAAATTTTAAAGAAATCAAGTGCATGCGCACTTACGACTTTAAAAAAGGAGTTAATACAAGAATGTTATCATTACAATTTCAGTATAGAAGATGGAGTATATTTCGACATTTTGTATCATACTTTACGCCGTGGTTATACAAGTAAATGGCCACGGTCGTTTGATCAGCCCTCCCGGGCGCTCTACAATGTGGAGGTATGGGTTCCCTACTCCCCATAATGCCGACGATCATCAATTATCTTGTGGCGGATTTGGCGTGAGTATTTCACATGTATTTTTCCAATTTTATGCTGAACTTCTTTGACTGTTTAATATGAAACCTACCTGTTGGCAACAAACGAAAGGGGCAGCTAACAAAGGTTCTGACATATCATGTGTATACATTCCTTTCGAATATGACAAATTTCTAACTAACTAGCAAATATCATTAAGCTATGCAGCTAACAAGAGTTATGCGCGTTATGCTTCTGGAAAGAATTGTGTCTTCTTTTAAACCTCCAAGATATTTCATTAAACGTTAAATTATTAATAGTTTTGATAAATTCATCCTTAAATTTAATCTTCAAATTTGAAATACAGTTTACGTGTATTTCTAAAGATGTAAGGCCAAATTCCAAAAGACACCTTACAAAACAAAGTTTGATATATAACTTATTGTTAGTGTTATTTATATAACTTATTGCTTACAATAAGTGTAAATATAAATACAGAGCTAAGCCATACTTTTATTATTTCCTTAAAGTCAGCTCTTTTTGTTTTACATTGTTGCCTCTTTTTTTCTTTTGCAATTAACTTTACTGAAAGGGTCACATAAATATTGTAGAAACGTGATGTTGTTTTTGAAAATGTTTTTCTTATATAGTTATATATAAAAACAAAGCTTTTAAAGTTAGAATCGAACTCTGCGTTGAAAATTAACAATTAAATTAATGAATATTTCTTTTAGTTATTATCAATGTCAATGTCCGATGATGAAATATATTTTGAATGAAAGTCGGTCATCTTTTCATACCAATTTAATGAATAAGAATTAGTGCATAAAATGTCATATTTGGGAAACTTAGGGAACATTATTAGATCTATAAAATCAATTCATGTGTACAATTTTATAGAATTTTAAACCAAGATGCTTAGCAAAATCTTTGCATTTCTATATACAGGTCCAGTTTTATAGAAACAATGGCAAATGTGGTATTTGCGGAGATCCTTACCATAGTGATCGCCCAAACGAGGCTGGCGGATTGTACGCAACAGGAACTATTGCGCGCACATATAACCAAGGTGACGTCATTACGGTCCAAGTGGAAATCACCGTCAATCATGGCGGTTGGTTTGAATTTAAACTCTGTCCAAATAATGACGCGAAGAAACGAGCAACACAGGAATGTCTGGACAAATACTTGTTGCTACATTTAGATGGTTCAACGAGAACAATTGTACCGGAAGGACTCGGGATCGTTTCGATAAAACTAAGATTGCCAAAGGACTTGACGTGTTCACAGTGTGTTCTACAATGGAAATGGAACACAGGTAATTATATATTGCTCGATTTATATACTTTTTATTATGAACAGCAATTATTATTAAATGTATATATTATAAGATTAGAAATTAAGAATGATAAAATAGTATATTAATTGACTTTTACTCGATTTCTAAATTGTGGACATTTCACTTAAGATATGTATGTAAATGTTGCTAATTTCACTATCTTATTATTACTGATTTATATTGTTTACTTTATTCAAATATGATACGTCATTTTTGTTTTAAATTTTTGCAATTTTTCTTAACTTTTCGCTTTTTTTTTCTTCTGCGTTTCAATTAATATGATAATAAAATAATTGTATAATTACAGCGAGTAACGTGCGTTGTAACGGGTCTAACTGTTGTCGGGGATGCGGGCCACAAGAGCAGTTCTATGGTTGTTCAGACATTACTATAAAAGGGAGCAACTCGCCATACAAACCTCCCGTGATTGTTCAACCGGTCCCAACACAGAAGCCACTCCCACCTAACTTCAATAATGGTGGAAGCGGCGGGGTACCAGGCTCGTTTCAACCTATTGTTCCCAGTTTTGGCGGCAATAATTTGCCGACTGGACATGTACCAATTCCTGATATTGTTAAAGACTGTAAAGGAACTGCATTATTTAGGTCAAATAACGCGATGGCAGACGACTGGTGTAGGAGGAACTGTATGAATGGATATTGTCCAAAGGATTACTGCGATGACACGTGTAGAGGAGGTGCGACACTTGTTCCAATAAACAACTCTATGAATAATGCTTGTAAAGCAAAACAATTCTGGCGGGAAAAAAACCCAGTTCCTGAAGCAGCCGATAAATGGTGCTTAAACAGATGCAGAAACGGTCATTGTCCCTTGGACTACTGTGAAGATTCGTGTTGGGCACGATTGTAATTTAAAAAATGCAATGAAAAAAAACAAGGAAAGCAATAAAAAACGAATATTCATCAAACTTTCGAAACTAAAAAATCCCATATCAGTTAAGTTTGCTGATCTGAAATTGCTTTTTATACTTTAACTATTACAAACAAACGCTGCGCTTTGTTTTTCAGTGAGTAATTGCCTTATGATTGACCTGTACAATTTCTTCCCAGTATTTACAATGATGTTTATGTATACAAAAGTCCTTATCTGAACAGATGTGTACATACATGTAATCATTTACTTATACTTCTGCCTCATTTTTATCAATGATTATAAAATTACAGGGGGAAAAAGGGTTATATCTTTTTCATGTATATATTTGTATATTTGTTCTGTATTGATCTGAAATATAATTGTTTAATTATTAGTTCATTAGCCAATAAGGTCTCTATAAAATCTGCTTTTTTATTACAATATGTGTCTTTTTCAAATGTGTTTGATAATGATTTCTACGTTTTAACTTATTAAAGGTTTATTGAACATAATGATGAGGTGTTGTTATTATATTAATAAATAGAAGCATGAATGAATGAATGAATGAATGAATGAATGAATGAATGAATGAATGAATGAATGAATGAATCATAACAATTAAGAAAGAAAGAAATAAAGATACGTACATAAAAACTAACTCACTCACTCACTCACTCAACCTATCAATCAATCAATCAATCAAACAAACAATCAATCAATCAATAAACGAACAAACAAATCTTCCGTATAAACATACTAACAAGAAACAACAACAACAACAATATTTATAAGCATATTTTCATTAACATGTAAATCCCATAAGCTACAAAACCAAAAATATTCATCATCAATACTTGGACAGTTGTAAGTGTCAAGACATTGAAGCTAAGCCTTCAAACTAAATTTAAAGTCTGCTTACTTCATTTCCTGCACCAAATAACTGCTAATCGGCCTAACACCCACCGCGGAGCCAATGAGTAGGCCTACTGCATAAGAATGGAAAATGGAATATATTCACAGATCTTACAAAATTGCGAAAAAAAACAAAAACAACAAAAAACGCAACTTTTTCATATTGTATCAAGCCGAGCTATTGGTCGAATCTCATATTGGCCGCGTGCTGTGTTTTCCCGATGAGTTATAAATTGTATGACACGAACAAATTAACAAAATATTCACTGAAAGGCCTATTCTTTCTCAGATCTTAAATTTTTGGTGTCCTGTTAAAGTTTTCAGAAAGTTACTTATAGGCGTATAGCCAGAACCGTCTTTTGCTTCTGGTGCTTTTTGGCATATAGTACAATTATAGTGGGTCAGTACTTTGAATTACGTTCTGAACTCGAATATGAAATTCTTTTTAAAGAAGTACCTACTTTTATAAAAACTAGCAAGAAACAGTACTTTAGGATTAAACAGGGTCTTTATTTGGTGGATATCTTTGTATTTATTTATTTTGCAGTTTTTGTAACTATAACAATAGTTATATTTATTAATTCATTTTATTTCTTCTTCCTTTGATTTCCTCAAAATTTGTTATTTAGAGCATTAAATTCAAAGGCCATAAATTACTTTAAATTGAACATTATTGCGTTTTGAAAATCATTCTCACTACGTTTAAATAACTTAATTTATTCCTTCTGATTATCAGTATTTTATTATTATACTTATCTATGTTTCTTTTTTTTTAATTTCTCATTCGATTTAGATCTATTTATATTAACAGATAAAACATTTGTTATAATCAGTTCCTAAGAAATTACTGAAAACTGAACTTCATAAAAAGTCGATATCACACAACTACATTCAAATACATGTAATATAAACTTCATTTCGACTAAGCTCAATGAAGGACCCGCAATAATGTTGTTACAACTTTTGACCCAACCCTTTTGGATGTACATTATGTTTGTAAAAACTTATGATACATTTATACAATGAAATATTATTAAACTAAAAAGTAAAAACGCCTGTTAGTTTGGTAGAAAACGCTCAATAGTTACTGACAAAAACATTAATTAATTCAAGCTTGACAAAGCTGCCAGACTTTCACTTACCCAGACAGTCCATATCGCAGGCATATCAAAATTAAGGGTCCACTCTAAATTTTTTTTTTTTTGGAAGATATAGGCGATTTACTGCTAAATGGCTATCTAACAGATGGATATCCGATTTGCTAACACCTGACCAGAAGAGGGAGCGGGTTAAATACTCTCGAAAATTGCTGAAAATGTCTCCTAAATATGACAGTTGCCGATTTTCTAATATTGTGAATTGTGACGAAAAAGCTAGTTTCACTATTTTACGCCAGTATGCAGATGTAACAATAATTAAGGTTTGGGCCACCAGAAAATGTTCGTCGATCATGCATTGCCAAGTGATTGACAAGTGTTTTGAAAGTTACATGCCGAACGTTATTTTTTTTTCTAAATACCCTTTGAACTATAGTCCAAATTCCTGTTTCTAAAGGCTAGGCCATTTTGTCACATCTAAGTTCTATAGAGAAGTCGTGTTAAGAAAAAACAGAAAAACACGTCAATAAGGTTCAGGCTTCAACTGGTATATATAATGTATGAAAGGCCTGTATTTTCTGCATGACAACGCTCCTGCACATAATGGAGCTACTGTAGTTAATTTGTTTTCGATTTCCTGTTTTCAACACCCACCGTATTCTCCAGACATGGCACCCTGTAACTTTTTCCTCTTTCTATACTTAAAAAAACAACATCTTGCAGATCATCGCTACAATCATATTTCAAATTAAACCATTTTATATTCCGAGTAATTGACTACAATTAAATGTAAAAAGGTAAATTTATATCCTTGTAATCTAAATATTAGGAAGTATAACAGTGTTGCAAGAGTTCTCTCCCTTACAGCAATCTTGAATCGTCATTTAAAAAAAAAGATTTTGTATTCTAAACAATAATCCGTTATTGAAATATTGGCAACTTAAATCTGGTTAAATATATGGACATTGTTATAAAAACTTAACCACATTTTTCTTTTCTTTGTATTTTGAAATGGAAATCCCTTAAACTCCAAATTTAAAGCTCAACCAGTACTACTGGAATAAGAACATTTTTGAGTATTGTCTATCAAAATATAAGGAATCATGTAATCTCCAATAAGGAGGCATGTTACTTGAGGAAATTTACCTTATAATTTCTTTTCTCTAAATCTTTATGTCTACATTTTTTATCAATGCAATGACTTTTAAGAACGAAGTATTGTCAATTCCTTATGGATAACTGATCAAAGTACGACCATACTTAAGGCGGAATCCGCCTTCAATAAATGAGTGGTTTCTGTCTTGGTGTACTATAAAGTGTTTTCTGGACGTGGGGAGAATAGAGCTCGAAATGTGCAAATATTTCGTTTCAGTAAAGCGGATTCTGGTTAACAATAACGCTGTTTATTGCACGTGGTCGAATTATTAACTTGACATAATAAATCAAACAATGAATGTGAAAACTATATAAATCTGAAAGTATTCATGAAAGTCCTTTACTTTGCCAGTTTTGAAGCTGTATACTGTCACTTAGAATAGATACTGGTCACTATATAGGAGAAACGGTTGAACAGAGGATATCTAGATTTTACCCCTGAAATGACATAGAAGATGAAAAATAAAACAACCTTTCCTTTAGGAACAAATATATTTGGTAACATACTGTCCTCACAATACTTTCTCAATCTAATAGAAGATTACAAATTAAAACATTTAAAGTGACATTAATCAAGTGACATCAAAGTGAAACTGGTAAGTAAACGGGTTTAAATAAAAATAACTTGGCATTTTGCAATAAGTGTGTTCAATTTTTTATTTTTCTATGAAGCAGTCATCAAACATTGCTCTAATATCGTTGAGAATGTATCGGTAATAATCAAATCTTTAAATGAGTGGGGTAGTCTTTTTATAATACAGGTCGTGTATATATTGTATCTTAAACATATTTTTCATTTATCAATTATAGATCAAACACCTTAATATCTTTTTTTTTAAAATATATTACTAATTCGTCTGGAGAAAAAACCGGAGCATATTGCCACTTTGATAGAATTGATTTGATTGAATTTACTAGCAAATTTCCTCAATAATGGTAGTGAAATTTCAGACCCTGATGTGCTTATTTGCAAAAGCCGAAAGTAGTACAAACTCCTCGAAGCGGTTACTTCCCTTTATAAGTACACTTACGCCGAAAAAATAAGGGGAGATCACTGCGTAAAGATTGTCAAATGACAGGCGCATTGATTTTCAAGCCTTCTCCGGAAAGAAAAAATAGTTCCCGATTGGTCGAAGATTTATAATATTGTGTTATTCTTTGAAGATATACATGCTTATATTAAGCTCCATGATTATACACATCAGTGTTAAACAACAGGTTTACCGTGAACAAAATACATCGAAATGAATAAGGGTTACAAACCCTTATTTCGAATAATATGGTTTTCTTCAGGTTGTTATCTTACAACTTCCCCGTGGTCGAGGGTTTTACACGCTCGCTTAGGAAGCCAGAGGTCTAGAGTTCAAATCCCAGTTAAGGCAACTTTGTTTATAAATTGTTTTAGCCAAATAAACATTGAATATCAGTGTTGCAATTAGTCTTATAGCCAATTTATAACAGTTATAACACTGGAAGCATCATTGGTGGCACTATACAAAAACAAATTGGTTTATAATCTCACAACCTTCATCTTTCTGACATTCGGAGACCCAAACAAATTTAGCGCCTTCTGTGCTTTGATTTATCTATCTGTCCTATATACTAGTTAAAGGTGATTCAATTCAGGCGACAAATGTTGATCGTTTCTTCTTGCATTTGTCTAATAACAATAATATCAGAAAATGAATACCATATTCATGTCTTTCTAATAGCATTGTATATGTCTGAATATATTATTTAATTCTAGGCGGGACTTGATTTGAAGATCCTTTCTCATTTATAATATTCTATTTTGAAGAAAACTCAATAAAAAAATACCGTGCAAGAAATTTAATTTAATTTTTCTTCCGGACAAATTAGCACTGATTTTGCATTGAGTGCATTAGATATGATATCCCTAGAGTCTTCCATCGGACTGAATAAGCTACAATTCCTAGGTCAGCTCCTACCAAACACGTTCCTGGCAAAGCAGCTAGATATTCAAAAATAGACTGTTTCACTGCTTAAATTTTGATAATATGTTCCTGACATTTATTGTGTTCTTCGGAAATTCGGTTTGAGCATGTGTTATAGGCGGTATTTTTACACCAAAATCTTCATGGAAACGAATGTTAAATAATAATTATGTAATCGAAACAAAGAAAAAAGACTTGGTTACTGCAAATACAGTGCAGTATCAATATTACCAATGGGGTATAATCCTTGCACGTTATTGAGTATGAAATCCTCGATTACTCTCCCTTTGCTAAAAAAACTCTCGCTTTGTGTCATTAAGACTTTGTGCCATCAGGCATGCTTCTGTCCTAAGAATCTAGACACGCGTGACGATCTCTGGGTTCAGAGGCAAACACCTTAACCACTAGGCCACAGCTCCCCTTAAGTTTTATGTATTTGGCAAATACGTCTTTTTTAGAAACTGTGACAAGAAGTAGAACGTTTTTGAGAAATAAAAATTATAGCATTTCGATCTAAGGCATAATCGGCCTTCAAATATGCTTACGTACCGTATACATTGTATAAGCTGATACTTACAAACCAACATTAGTTGATACTATATGTGATATCAGGGTCTTTTTGAAAGACCCTGGTGATATACAGTATCTGCAACCAAAAATATACATTTTGTCCCAGACAGTATGCGATGTATTACTGCACGTATACCATGTCCTAAAATAGTACATGTATATAAAATATAAAAACTATAGATCTAGCGTTTTATAACGCGTCAACACATAACTACGACTGCGTTGCGACACGGCTTTAATTACAGTCGTGATTACGTCAAACTATTCATTGTTACGTCAAACTATTCATTGTTATACGTATTTCAATTAATCTGGGAATTAATTAAATTATTAAATAATTTCAGTCCAGCTCGGTCATTTAGACATAATTATGCAAAAATAATCTTCAAAGTCTCTGTTTAAGGATTAAAATGAATCATGTTCCGTCTTGTCTGCTAATCCTTAACAAGTCAAGAAATCTAGAGAATAAATCTGTTTTGACAGCGAACCTGGCAACACGTGTGTTTATTGTTTACATCTTGTCCATGTTATGAGCGATTTCGTCACGTGACGCATCGATGAGACATCGCCAGGATTCCCCGGAAGCAATATTTTTAGAAATTTATAGTGAAAATGACAGAAAAAGAATTTATTTTCGATCCACACAATAAAGTGGAACGCAGTTATGGATATTGTATGTTCTTTGTTAGTATAATATCATTTATACTCACCAATATAGTGGTCACCAAAATTGGACCTCCCAAAAACGTGAAAGGAGACCCGTGGAGATGGAACAATTTATTCATTTCTTGGATACATGCAGCCATTTGTGGCACATGGGATATACTTTGGTTTGTATATTGTGTATGCATATCTCTTACTAACAAAAATTATATATGATTCTCTATAGGATCTGTTAGAATCTAAACGATTTCGGCAAATTTGAAGACCCAGGAAAATATGTCGCTTGTATCGCTGAAAAAATATAAAGAAATGCGACTTGCTTTTAGGTACACAATAACTTGCTTTGGCTTGTTCATCCCGTATGAAAGATTCCGATTCCACAATTTTACATTTAGTACATAAATTAAAAAACAGGTTTTCCTTGCTTTTATGACTTACGGTCAATTTAATGATGATAAATTATAATAATACGTACATTCCTAGGCCAACCCCAGAAGGTTTTGACTAACTAATACACCAATTGACAGTTGTGAACCTGACAGATCACAGGCTTTTCTTCTCAGTAATTTTGCGAGTAAAGATTACCGGCTGTGTATCTCTATGTTAACTCATCTAACATGTGGTAGTTTTAACAATTTTTTTTAATACTTTTGGTGCCTAAAGAGGTGAGATGAAGCTAAGATCGCATGCTTTTCATTGATGTAAATTGTAATGAAAAATAAAATTGGTCTATAAATAGCAGTTAACTAGTGGTTTGAATGTGGCAAAATTAGTATTGTTAAAATGTTTTAGCATTAGAGATATCGATTTAAGTCGAAGACAAGGGGAACAACTCATGTTTTTACACTTGATATACCTCGGTTATTTAAGCAGTTTATACAGAAACTGTCAATGCGGGGTGCATTGTTGCATTATTTGAATTTGTATCCCTTTAATAGGCTTTATAAGTTTTTTATATAATACATTGTGGTAAAAGAAAATATGTTCCTTTTCTTATTCACTATGTTCAGGTTACTATCCCTAATGAAGACTTCTTGACCCCTCCCTCTCCCAAATATCTTTTCATGACCATCCCTTTGCTTTATTTAAATTATAGCAACTTCAGACTACATTTGTATTAAAAGTATTTTAAGTTCTTTTTCTTTCTTAGGATTGTGTACCATTTGAACTGCTTACCACCTTCATTTGTCCTGCTCCCTATTCATGCAGCAATATGCAGAATTGAACATTTTTCACCACAATTTTTTTAACCTCCTAAATTTTAACATTTAAATTTTTTTCTCATCCTTCTCAATGTTTGACAGGCAAACATGTCAGTGCCCTACAGGTGATTTTACATTACTGGGACAGGGTGTCCGTTTGACCCTTGAAATGACTCTTTGACCCTTCAAATTTCGAAAAGGCCTGATTTGACCCTCAGGATTTTAACTGGAGGGTCAAATATCGTTTAAATCATGGGGATTTCACCTTGTAGTCGGTAAAAGTTAGTCAAAATGACCCTCAGGATTTCAAGCTTGTGAACACCCTGCTGGGAGATTGCTAGATATATAATTTAAGTTTATTTATGTTGCTTTTTCTTTGATAAATTATTTTCAATTTGAAAATCAGCTCTTCATCAATATATATTGAATATATACACTGAGCATAAGTTTCAATCAGACCTTTGAAAAATGTTGATAACTTCCTTATTTGAACAGCTAAGATAGTCAAATTTTACAAATCATAACAATGACCAAAAATGTTACAAAAATGTGTTATCAAACTGGTTTTATGTATATTTAAACTATCCAATCGGCAGTGCATGTGCTTTTACGCATGTTGCTATTCAAATATCATATAAGAAGGTAGCTTGCAAGTTTATTATATAAATAGAAGCATTCACTTTCTTTTATTTGCCTATGTTGACTGTACATGTATTAATACTTTCTATTCTACTTTTGTTTCAGTTTATATTTTTATCCAGAGATGTTGGATGATCTAGTTCACCATATTAATTACTTCACATATCTAATGATTGCCTTCTCAACAGGTATGTTAACCTTTTTATGCTAAGATTTGTCATATAGAAATACAGTGTAAAAAAAAATGAGAGAAAAAGTAGCCTGACCTTGACTCGAACTCGAGACCAATGGAACAGTTTCTGAAGCTCCCCCAACTGTGTTATTTTGTCAATCTACTTATCTTTTTCCCATATTAGGGAATAGTTCTACATGTATATGGTTACATGTTTCAACACTATATTTAAATCCATTGTAGATTTTCATTTTTCTAATGGAAGCAGAAACAATGTAAATTGACTTAAAGCTTCTTACTGTCATAGTCCATGTCTGACAAGAAATGTTGATGACAAAAGTGTGAATCCTGACAGTTCACTGACTGAGACTCGAACCTGGGACTCTTGGAACAGTTTTATGGACTGAGCTACTAGGCCACTTTAACCGTCTTCTCCCCTATTAGTGAACAGTTCTATACCAACAGATTTGCACATTAAAAAGCCAAAACTATGCTTATAAGCTGATGTTTATTTGTTTGAATCCTGTGTGTGGGCGGGATTTATTTCACATGCATTTGCATAGATAATTTTATGATTATCCTTGATTAATTAACTCAAGATGTTTGGTTTTTCCTTTCAGGTTACTTTGTGTATGATTTCCTAGATCTGATGTACAATGGCAAGCTGATAGCTAATTGGGAAGTCACACTTCATCATATAGCAGTAAGTTACTTTTTTACTTAATATGAAGTTTATTTTTATTGATTAGATTGTGAGGGATTTGGTCTTATTATACTGAAGTTTTGAAGTCCCTAGGAGATTCTGTATTTTATATGCTTTCAATCTTCACATATAGTTGACTGCTTCATACTAGTATTAGAATCATTATTAGGCTATATGTATTGTGTAATCTCAAAAATACAATTGTTTGTTATAATAATATTAGATTATCAAAGCTTATGATGTCACATGATAGTTGCTTGAAGATTGTTGGAAACATTGTTCATTGTGGCTCTGGGGTATTGAAGAAAACATACCTAAGGAAAACAAGCTAGAACTGGTTACATGTTCTTGAGCTTGATAGGACAAAATGTAAACCTATGGTTTAAGTTACCAAATGAGCCGCGTCACAACAAAACCAACATAATGGGTTTGCGACCAGCATGGATCCAGACCAGCCTGCACATCTTTGCAGTCTGATCAGGATCCATGCTGTTCGCTAACAGTTTTTCTACTTGTTATAAAGTTGTAAGCGAACAGCATGGATCCTGATCAGACTGGGCGGATGCGCGGGCTGGTCTGGATCCATGCTGGTCGCAAACCCATTATGTTGGTTTTGTCATGACGCGGCTCAAATGACACGAGGTTGTCATGATGAAATGTACGACTTATACTGTGCTTATTTAGTGACCAAGGCTGGTTAGACTGAGATCTTGCTTATTTAGTGACTTGATCTTGTCAGGCTGAAATATGAGCCCAAGACCTTGCTTATAAGACCTTGCTTATTTACAGTTTACTACAATGTATGTAGTGAGTTGGCTTGTTAGGCTGAAATTTGGGCCTAAGATCTTGCTTATTTACATGTACTATGTAGAAACTTAGCTTGTTAGGCTGAAATATATGTGATTGTAAGACCTTGCTTATTCAGTGACAAGTGTTTGTCCGGCTGATATGTGAGACTTGTGTCCTCGATTTTAAGTGACTAGGGCATTACAGGCCATATTTTCAGCTATATCAGACTGAACCTATATACCATCATAGTCATGCTTTTAGTATTCTCTATAGTTAATGATATTCCTATCAATTTTCTTCTGTCAACTACATGTAGCAATCATGAATGCTTTACCTCTTGATTTTCTTACTTTTTACTTGTTTTTCCTTTTCTTTCTTTTTTCCTTTTTTAGCTCGACTATTCGCAGAATAATCGAGCTAATGCAGTCACCGATTTGTCGGCGTCCCTGTGGTTAAGTTTTTGCGTGTAAGCTGGTATCCTAAATACCTACTGAAGGTAATGGATTGAAACTTCACACACTTGTTCTCTGTGATTATCTAACATGATTGGCACAAGTCCCATAACTCTGATTTGCTATTTTTAGCTCACCTGTCACAGAGTGACAGGGTGAGCTTTTGTGATCGCTTTTCATCCGGCGTCCGTCCGTCGTTCGTCTGTCCGTCGTTCGTCCGTAAACTTTTGCTTTAAATGACATCTCCTCATAAACCACTGAGCCAATTTCATCCAAACTTCACAGGAATGTTCCTTTGGTGGTCACCTTTAAAAATTGTTCAAAGAATTTAATTCCATGCAGAACTCTGGTTGCCATGGCAACCGAAAGAAAAATCTTTAAATATCTTCTTTTAAACAACCCTAAGAGCTAGAGCTTAGATATTTGGCATGAAACATCTTCTAATGAGTGTCTACCAAGTTTGTTCAAATTAAAGCCCTGGGGTCAAAATTGGCCTCGCCCCAGGGGGTCATTGATTTTCCCTATATGCATATAGTAAAAACTTAAAAAATCTTCTTTTAAAGAACTGTAAGAGCTAGAGCTTAGATATTTGGCATGAAACATCTTCTAGTGAATGTCTACCAAGTTTGTTCAAATAAAAGCCCTGGGGTCAAAATTGGCGGGGCCCCAGGGGGTCATTGATTTTCCCTATATGCATATAGTAAAAACTTAAAAAATCTTCTTTTAAAGAACCAAAAGAGCTAGAGCTAAGATAGTTAGCATGAAACATCTTCTAATGGCTGTCTACCAAGTTTGTTCATATAAAAGCCCTGGGGTCAAAAATGGCCCCGCCCCAGGGGGTCATTGATTTTCCCTATATGCATATAGTAAAAACTTAAAAAATCTTCTTTTAAAGAACTGTAAGAGCTAGAGCTTAGATATTTGGCATGAAACATCTTCTAGTGAATGTCTACCAAGTTTGTTCAAATAAAAGCCCTGGGGTCAAAATTGGCCCCGTCCCAGGGGGTCATTGATTTCCCTATATGCATATAGTAAAAACTTAAAAATTCTTCTTTTAAAGAACCCAAAGAGCTAGAGCTAAGATATTTGGCATGAAACATCTTCTAGTGAGTGTCTACCAAAGTTGTTCAAATAAAAGCCCTGGGGTCAAAATTGGCCCCGCCCTGGGGGGTCATTGATTTTCCCTATATGCATATAGTAAAAATTTAAAAAATCTTCTTTTAAAGAACCGTTAGAGCTAGAGCTTAGATATTTGGCATGAAACATCTTCTAGTGAATGTCTACCAAGTTTGTTCAAATAAAAGCCCTGGGGTCAAAATTGGCCCCGCCCCAGGGGGTCATTGATTTTCCCTATATGCATATAGTAAAAACTTAAAAAATCTTCTTTTAAAGAACCCAAAGAGCTAGAGCTAAGATATTTAGCATGAAACATGTTCTAATGGGTGTCTACCAAGTATGTTTAAATTAAAGCCCTGGGGTCAAAACTGGCCCCGCCCCAGGTGTCATTGATTTTCCTTATATGTGTTTAGCAAAAACTTAAAAAACTTCTTTGAAAAAAACCAAATAGCTAGAGTTTAGATATTAAGCATGAAACATCTTTAAGTAAATATCTACAAAGTTTGTTCAAATAAAAGCCCGGGGGTCAAAACTGGCCCTGCCCCAGGGGTGTCATTGTTTTTAACTATATGTGTATAGTAAAGACCTTAAAAAATCTTCTTTTAAAAAACCCAATGAGCTAGAACTTACATGTTTAGCATGAAACATCTTCTTATGGGTGTCTACCAAGTCTGTTCAAATAAACAAATAAAAGCCCTTGGGTAAAAATTGGCCCGGGGGGGGGGGGGGGGGGCTATATACAGGTGAGCGACCTCAGGGCCATCATGGCCCTCTTGTTACATAATTATGCCCCTTTTTATACGCCCGTTTGAAAAACGGGACGTATTATGGGAACGCCCCTGGCGGTCGGGCGGTCGGGCGGCGTCCAATTTTGTCCGGAGCATATCTCCTACATGTATGGAGGGATTTTAATAAAACTTCATATAAATGTTCACCACTATGAGGAGCAGTGTCGCGCACATGAACCAGGTCTCTAGGTCAAAGGTCAAGGTCACACTTAGAGGTCATTGAAAAATGCTTGTCCGGAGCAAAATTTCCACATGTATAGAGGGATTTCAATATTACTTGGCACAAATGGTCACCATTGTGAGGCGGAGTGTCGCGTGCAAGATTCAGGTCCTTGCGGTCAAGGTCACATATAGAGGTCAAAGTTCAGATAAAAATATGAAGATGTGTATATGGACCATTTAGTCATCATTTATTGAGGGATTGTAACACAAATGGTCATTATCAAGACTATGGCTGTGATACATATAATTTAGGTCAATATATACAAGGTCAAGGTCACTAAAGATGATGAAATATCCAGATTTTGTAAATAGAATTTAATCAAAGGGAGACAACAAAGTTATTACTTTGTTCATAAATGACTTACACATTTACTCCCCTTGATCTATTTTCACTTTCAATTCTAAAAATAGAATTTAATCAAAGGGCATGAAATAATCCTCTTTCTTGGAATTGAGTATGTTCTAAAGAATGTAACATTTATTTACACATGTTTCATTCATTGGTCAAGATTCTTAACTGTGATAACTATGGTGTTCTGTAGACTTGGTATTTGTTCATAAAGATCATACAGTAATTACCTTATCAAATGTAAATACTTTCTCAAAGAAATTTAATTATATTTTAATTTTCAAGTAAATATCAGTTCAGCTCATTCAAAGATTAAGAATTGTAATGAAATGTATTTCCCTAGAATAAAATCTTAAATCAGAATTTTTTAGTTATTAAATTACATGTACTTTTTATACGCCCGTTTAAAAAAAGATAAAAATATGAAGATGTGTATAGGGACGATTTAATCATCATTTATTGAGGGATTGTAACACAAATGGTCATTATAATGACTACGGCTGTGACACATGTACTTTAGGTCAATATATGCAAGGTCAAGGTCACTAAAGATGGTGAAATATCCAGATTTTGTCTGGAGCATATCTCCTACATGTATGGAAGAATTTTTATAATACTTTATGGAAATGTTCACCACCATGATATGTATTGCTCCATGCATGATCCAGGTCAAAGGTCAAGGTCACACTTAGAGCTCATTGAAAAACGCTTGTCCAGAGCAAAACTTCTACATTCATAGGGGGTTTTCAATATAACTTGGCACAAATGTTCACCATTGTGAGGCTGAGTGTCGCATGCAAAATTCAGATCCCTGCGACCAAAGTCAAGGTTACACATAGAGGTCAAAGTTCAGATAAAAATTTGAAGATGGTTATAGGGAACATTTAGTCATCATTTATTGATGGATTGTAGCACAAATGGTAACTATCATGACTACAGGTGTTACACATTTAATTTAGGTTAATATTTGCAAGGTCAAGGTCAGTGGAGATGATTAAATATCCAGATGTTGTCCGGAGCATATTTTCTACATGCATGGAGGAATTTTAATGTTACTTTTATAGAATTGTTCACCACCATGAGACGTAGTGCCCTGCACATAAACCAAGTCTCTAGGTCAAAGGTGAAGGTCACAGTTAGAGCTCATAGAAAAACACTTGTCTGGAGCAAAACTTCTACATGCATAGAGGGATTTCAATATAATTTGGCACAAATGTTCATCATTGTGAGGCTGAGTGCCGTGCATAAAATTCAGGTCCCTGCAACCAAGGTCAAGGTCACACATTCTGTGCATATCTTCCCTATTGATTTGTTTTAAGGTTCATTTAACAACACAGTGCCAAGAATAAAAACTTGCTTGCTAGATAACACTTATCCATAATGCCCCCATCTCCATCAAAAGCTTTTTCGTAAACGGGCGTATTTTGTGACTATGGCACCCTTGTTCGACTTAGAAATTCTTGTTTTTGTGTGTAAGCTGGTATCTCAATAACTATTGAAGGGAATGGATTGACACCTCACACACTTGTTCTCTGTGATTATCTAACATGATTGGCACAAGTCCCATAACTCTGATTTGTCTTTTTGCATAATTATGCCCCTTTTTCTGCTTAGAAATTCTTGGTTAAGGTTTTGCTTGTAAGCTGGTATCTCCATAACTACCGAAGGCTTTGTGCCTTTTTTAGGACAATTTTATGCATTCATAATAATAAAGCAGTGATTAACTCGATAAAACATCTTAATAACAAGCCTTTGTACCTTTTCGGACAATTTTATGTATTCATATAGGTAAGCATTATTATACTCGATGAAACACCCTTGTGACAACTTTTCGAATAGTTGAGCGTTACTGTCCTCCGATAGTTCTTGTTTTTATTCACAATATTGAAATAAAAGTTATTTTGTTTTGTTAGCTTTGGTTGTCTGTTGCATCATTTTAACAATGTAATGCTACCCTCAGAGCTTGAACTTTTTAGGGGCTGTGGTAACTTCAGGTATGACTTGCAAAAGCTAATGGTAGCTCACAATTATCTTCAGGAGCGTTTTATATTTATAAAATTCTACATGTATGATTGCATATACAAAATGTACATCATATTTATGTGATCATTTTGTACAAACATGTTACTGAACTGTGTCTCAATTAACTTCTGTCATATTGTTCTTTAATTTCTTCATTTCTGTACAAATGTGCGGGTATGGGAAAAAAAATAGCATTTCTTCTAGTTTCAATTTGAGCTGTGGCTATTCTGCTGAAGTAGGCCAGTTTGTGTTAATTCTTGAAATTTTGAAATTTACTACTTTGTAATTAAAGAACAATGTGAAGTGAACTGACTTCCGTACATAATTGATATGATTAAGTAGCATTTTAAAATTAAATTGGATATTGAATATGTTTATTGTTAACAACAGTTTTTGTCCTGTCATAATTATTACCTTCTATTTATTTCTAATATTTCAATTTATTTTTTGAGCAAAATCTTGCACAAAATTGCATAATCTTGTTTTCTTTCATTGGTCACATAACTGAAATTGTACTATAATTATACAAGCAGGAAACTTATAATCCTACCAAAAAAAAAAAGGAAATCAATTTTTCTACCCTATATTGAAATACAGAGAACACAACAATCAGTGTTCAAGGAGAGTATATACGTGTATATATGAGCCGCGTCATGACAAAACCAACAAATGCGTTTGCGACCAGCAACCGCGCAGTCTGATCAGGATCCATGCTGTTCGCTTACAAACCCTATAACAAGTAGAGAAACTGATAGCGAACAGCACAGATCCTGATCACACTGCGTGGATGCGCAGACTGGCCTGGATCCATGCTGGGCGCAAAAGCATTATGTTGGTTTTGTTGTGACGCGTCTCATATCAAGAGCATGAAATCTCAATCTCTTTTTCAAACCAATTTATTTGTTAAGAATAAGATTTTTTAGAGAAACGTTTAATAAACAAAATTATGTACGTATTTCAGGTAACTTCCATGTTCTGGTACAACCTGCATGAGGAGATGTGTATAGGTTACAATGTAGTTGCCATCATGGCCGAAATTAACAGTTTCTTCCTACATTCCCGCAAGCTTCTACATTTATTACAGTACAAATTTGACAACAAATTTTATCGTTTAGTCTGTATGTTGAACTTGGTGACATTTTTCGTCTGCCGCGGCTGGTCGCTGTGTCGGATCTCGTACGGAATGTACACAGAATCTCACCGGGTGCCACCAGTCTACTTCCGGTTTTTGTGTTTTTCTATTTTTGTGATGAACTCGATAAATCCTGTGTTGTTCTGGAGACTTTTAAGAAATGATGTGTTAAGAAGACCGTCAACACCGAAGAAATCAAAGCAGCCAGTTATAAATGGAAACAATAATCAAAATGCTCATTTAAAATCAAATTAATGTTATAGTACCTATTGCTGTTTAATTAATGGACACTTCTAGTTTTAGAATTTGCTATGAAATAAACTGTTTAACAAAGGTTGCATTTTAATATTTGTATACATATGTACACCGAAAGATACAAGAATCAAATAACTTTATATTACATATTATAGCTTGACACTTGGTCAGTATATATTGTTACTGTACTTTTAGAACGTTTGTCTTGAATGAAATGTGAATTTGTGCATCATTATTTTCAAAATTTTAGAATAACAGTTTTATTAAAACATTTTCACTAAGTCACTATGATGGTTTTGAATATGAATATGAACATTCAAGTTGTACATATGTACTTGGTACTGAATTGCAATCTTTCTGTTGTCTAGTTGCTTTTTAGCTAGCATTATAAGGGAGACAATTACAATTTAGTTTCATAACCAGTTATTGTCTCCCCTTAGTGTATAAGGTACATGTATATACATAGTTGTTTAAATAGTGAATCACAGTGATTGAATTCATAAAGGTTTTGTTTTGGCATTATGTTTTAAGAAAAATGATAAATCATTGTGTTTTACTGATTATGATACAGTTATCATAAAAGCTCACAATATGAAAAGGTTATAACAGACTGGGGTATAAAAGAAAAGTACGGTAAAAGATTTTGAATCATTATTTTTGCAAACATATCCTATAATTCTTGAAACGTGAAAGAGTTATATGTCCTTGCATAATTCAAAAAGTTAAGTATATTTTGATTTGCATAATTCAAAAAGTTAAGTATATTTTGATTATGTCGTGGCAGTCTGTCTCCCTATCGACAACATTAACTGTGGCCTGTAGCAGTCGTCATATTTAAAAAAAGTATATCTCTTAACCAGGGCTTGATTTAAATGGATTGAAATTTTACCTTGGGAGACTGACATTAAAGGTCAAATTTTCCAGATTGTATTTTAGTTAAATCCTGTCATGAAATGTTTATTTCCTGTGCTTTTATTCTTTGCTTTCTAATTTCATTAATTTATATTCTCTTGATTATTATAGTTAGCTATATTTAGCTGTGTGATATATCAACATTGTAAAATCATTTACTGTACACAAAAAGTTGTATTTTATCTAGAAATAATGATGTTATAATTCACTTATGTCATTGGTAATAACCTTTGAACCTTTGGTCTTTGTTTTCTATAATATTTACCATGACATAATGTGTGAACCATGTGACTAGTTCGGTACTAATTGATGACTAAGATTGATATATGACAGTTATAATGTTATGATACTCTATAGATAGGCAAAATCACTTGGTTGTGACTGTAAAAAATATGACTACAAATTGTGTTACATGTAATTAGAATTCTAGCAATTCTTGCCTGTAAAAAATGAACTTTAAATTATTTTTGCATTCAGTTTTTTTCCCCTTCTTGATTTAGGTCTCCAAAAATTCTAATATTCTTCAAAATTTTGTAAATAATTTTTGAAAATTATAAGTTTTACATTTGTAGAATCTCAATATTTGCAATTTTAACATAATCATGCAATTAAACATTTTCCAAAATGGGTTTTACATAGACCATTTCCTAAAAGGATTAAGTAAAAATACTGGTATCTGTTAGTATTTCATAAAGATAAGAATTAACATTTTATATTTAGATTAGATTAAGTTATTTCAACCATTTTTCATTCTGTATAAATATTTCATCCTTCCTCAGTAGTTGTGAAAGTTAGCAGTTTTCAAACTTTGTAAATTTGGCATCGTTCAACCTGGCATCATACATTTATAACAATGTGTATAAATTTGTCGTTCATAAAACAGTGTATAATTTTCATCTTGGGACAACATTGCTTTTTTTAGCATTCATTTCTATATTTAGGATTCTGTGGCAGTCTGTGTTTACGGTACTTAATTAGGTATTTTCCAGCAATATTTGTATATATGGCACTTTTTGAAGACAATTTTTGTAAATTTGGTATCCATTGACCTTCTGAATTTTGGCATTAATTTTTTAACTTGTGTTTATTTTGCTCTAGTTTCAACTAAAAGTGTAAATTTGTCATTGTATCATAACCTATGACTGACATTCTTTTTACATTTAGCATAAATTCTTGTAATGCCTCAAAAGGATTGTTAAACATTTATAGTAGTGGTGCATTACATAAATTATCAATAGTGTTGACACATGATAAGTCAATGATAAATGTGGCAGAATTGATGTGATGTCATTTATGTAACTTGCATACATGTACATTAATTGGCTTAACTGATTTATGATGAAAAAAGGTACTTGTAAGCTATAAGGAGTGTGAATAGTACTTAGACATCTGTTTTGTATAGTGTGACAAAGTAAATCTAACAATATTATTGTTTTTAGCTCAACTTTTCAAAGAATATGGAGAGTTATTGTACTCACTCTGGCATCAGTGTCATACTTTGGTTAAGTTTTTGCATTCAAGTTGGTATCTTCTACCAAATGGGTTGAAACATTTTTAGCTCACCTGTCACAAAGTGACAGGGTGAGCTTTTGTGATCGCTTTTCGTCCGGCGTCCGTCCGTCCCTCCGTCCGTCCGTAAACTTTTACTTTAAATGACATCTCCTCATAAACCACTAAGCCAATTTCATCCAAACTTCACAGGAATGTTCCTTTGGTGGTCACCTTTAAAAATTGTTCAAAGAATTTAATTCCATGCAGAACTCTGGTTGCCATGGCAACCGAAAGAAAAAACTTTAAATATCTTCTTTTAAAAAACCATAAGAGCTAGAGCTTAGATATTTGGCATGAAACATCTTCTAGTGAGTGTCTAACAAGTTTGTTCAAATAAAAGCCCTGGGGTCAAAATTGGCCCCGCCCCGGGGGGTCATTGATTTTCCCTATATGCATATAGTAAAAACTTAAAAATTCTTCTTTTAAAGAACCCAAAGAGCTAGAGCTAAGATATTTAGCATGAAACATGTTCTAATGGGTGTCTACCAAGTTTGTTCAAATAAAAGCCCTGGGGTCAAAATTGGCCCCACCCGGGGGGGTCATTGATTTTCCCTATATGCATATAGTAAAAACTTAAAAAATCTTCTTTTAAAGAACTCAAAGAACTATGGCTAAGATATTGAGCATCAAACATGTTCTAATAGGTGTCTACCAAGTTTGTTCAAATAAAAGCCCTGGGGTCAAAATTGGCCCCGCCCCGGGGGGTCATTGATTTTCCCTATATGCATATAGTAAAAACTTAAAAATCTTCTTTTAAAGAACCAAAAGAGTTAGAGCTAAGATATTTAGCATGAAACATGTTCTTATGGGTGTCTACCAAGTTTGTTAAAATAAAAGCCCTGGGGTCAAAATTGGCCCCGCCCTGGGGGGTCATTGATTTTCCCTATATGCATATAGTAAAAACTTAAAAAAATCTTCTTTTAAAGAACTCAAAGAGCTATGGCTAAGATATTGAGCAACAAAGATGTTCTAAATAGGTGTCTACCAAGTTTGTTCAAATAAAAGCCCTGGGGTCAAAATTGGCCCCGCCCCAGGGGGTCATTGATTTTCCCTATATGCATATAGTAAAAACTTAAAAAATCTCCTTTAAAGAACCAAAAGAGTTAGAGCTAAGATATTTAGCATGAAAAATGTTCTAATAGGTGTCTACCAAGTTTGTTCAAATAAAAGCCCTGGGGTCAAAATTGGCCCGCCCCGGGGGGTCATTGATTTTCCCTATATGCATATATTAAAAACGTAAAAAATCTTCTTTTAAAGAACTCAAAGAGCTATGGCTAAGATATTGAGCATCAAACATGTTGTAATAGGTGTCTACCAAGTTTGTTCAAATAAAAGCCCTGGGGTCAAAATTGGCCCCGCCCCAGGGGGTCATTGATTTTCCCTATATGCATATAGTAAAAACTTAAAAAATCTTCTTTTAAAGAACCAAAAGAGTTAGAGCTAAGATATTTAGCATGAAACATGTTCTAATAGGTGTCTACCAAGTTTGTTCAAATAAAAGCCCTGGGGTCAAAATTGGCCCCGCCCCGGGGGTCATTGATTTTCCCTATATGCATATAGAAAAAAAATTAAAAAATCTTCTTTTAAAGAACTCAAAGAGCTATGGCTAAGATATTTAGCATCAAAAATGTTCTAATAGGTGTCTACAAAGTTTGTTCAAATAAAAGCCCTGGGGTCAAAACTGGCCAGGCCCAGGGGTTTCATTGTTTTTAACTATATGTGTATAGTAAAAATTTTAAAAAAATCTTCTTTTAAAAAGCCCAATGAGCTAGAGCATGAAACATCTTCTTATGGGTGTCTACCAAGTTTGTGCAAATAAAAGCCCTTGGGTTAAATTGGCCCTGCAACGTTGGGGGGGCCTATATACAGGTGAGCGACCTCAGGGCCATCATGGCCCTCTTGTTTCTCTTTGATTATCTAACATGATGGACATACATGTAGGTTACAGAGTTATGGCCCTTTTTCTTACTGTCAAGCACTGAGAATAGTGGAGCCCACTGTGTTACGGACAGCTCTTCTTATGTTATTTATTTTATCAGATAAATTTACATGTTTTAAAGAACCAGAACCCGATTGTTATAATTTATAATTGCTGAATTCAATGTTATAGTCTTTTAAAATACAAGTTGCTTCTATCAAATAATGTTCTTGAAGGAAAAGTACAGAAATTACTATCTGAAATAGCTAGTTTTGTGTGTATCAAAATTTTCTTTAGCAGTCAATTAATTATTTTTGTTTTGGGATCAAATTTTAGTTTTTGTTTCTTCTTGGTTTATACCATGATACTACTTTAAGTTGCAACACTTACATGAATGTTTTAAGCTAAGAATGAAAGTTTGCTTTATACATTTAGTAATAGTATTCTTGTACATTCAGTAATAGTAATTCTTGTACATTCAGTAATAGTAATTCTTGTACATTCAGTAATAGTAATTCTTGTACATTCAGTAATAGTAATTCTTGTACATTCAGTAATAGTAATTCTTGTACATTCAGTAATAGTAATTCATGTACTGTTTTTTTTCATGTTCTTTGAATATATATTGTAAACTTAAAATTAAAGCTAAAGTTTTGTAAGGAACAGTAAATGTTAAAGTTACTGCTTTTTTATGGAAAATGTTAACGATATTTTGAAGAATTTCTCGTTGGAACGGTACATAAGTTGGTTTTTAATAGAACGCTGTGTTTATAATGCTTATTATACTTTTCTATAACAAAAAGTTTTGTTTTCACACACCAAGTTAAATAAGAAGTCATTGTTTTGTTTTATACATATTTTGTAAAAAAAGAAATCAATGCAGCACGTCTCATTGTACAAAAATATTTGTGAAATATTTTACAACAAAACATAAGATATGCTGTCATTTTTTCATCGTCTTATTTTTGTATTTTGAATGTTTTTTGAGACATGACATTTTCAATTTTGTGCTACCTTTCTACATTTTATGTATCTTACATATTTTTTTACTATTTAGCTTACATACTGGATCTGATTGTTTGTAGTACACTTTACTTTTAAAGTAAAATAGGTTTATTCCATGCACATAATTTATTTTTCACTCAAACATTTTTTCACCATGATTAAAGTTGTGCACTTGTCCTTCTTTATTTCTATTTATCACATACCCATGCCACTTTTGTGATTCATCATCATCTGTATCACTCTGTGTTACTGTTTCTCATAGCATCTTTATTTATTCCTTGATTTCTTACATATTTGATTTGTTGGTACTTCACATTATATACATTGCTACCATTAGATAGATTTTTAGGTTAATGTGGTCAAGGTCACTTGGGCTATTTAGGTCGTTTTTGTCCAGGTCACTTGGGCTATTAAGGACATTTTGGTGAAGGTCACTCAGGTGATTTAGGTCATTTTGGTCAAGGTCACTGGGCTTTTTACATGTAGAACATTTTGGTCAAGGTCACTTGGGCTATTTAGGTCAAGGTCAATTGGTATATTTAGGTCAAGGTCAAAGTATCTTAGGTCAAAAATGGGAGATTGATTTCTCTCAAAGACAGTATAGATGTCTTGTCATGAGTCTCATACTCAGTGAATCTGCAATAGATTTGTTGTTTACATTTTTTTATTTCACTTTATTACTTTCATTTTAACTGTGAAATTTAACTTTGAATGGAGTGAAGGGCGGCTACTTAGGTCAAAGTCACCATTGCTAAAAATAGATTTTACACTTCTTCTTTATTTAGCCTTTATTTTATTGATGGATATTTCTTTTGGGGGGTAGGAACATATCTTGCCTGTTCTTCTAACTTTGTAGAGTTAGGGGTCACTGGGATCAAGGGTCACAAGTGGTAAAAATAGATTTTTACTTTTTTTGCTTATTCAGCCTTTGTTTATCGACCTATGTGCATTAAGGTACATTGACAAATGAGCAAGTTCATGGAGCGTCCATCGTCATTAGCAGTATGTCTTATTTTTCTTGAATGTTATACCAGTTTTTCATAAGGTGATCTTTTGTACAGTCTTCTTGTTTTTGGAAATGTTGTTTTGCACTTAAGTGTTTGTTTGACATTTTTGTACTCTATGTAAAAGTAATAATTGAGAGCAAGATGTTTGTGTTTATACCTGTAAAATTCTTAGAGTTTGGTGCTTTATATGATGAGGATAGTAAGATTATTTTATACTAAAACATCACTAAACATGGTAGCTATTTACAAGTTCTTGTCTTTTAATAATTAAATGATTCAGATAATTTCATACTATGATGTATATCTTGTCCAAGGTTTCACATTTTGTAGTTAATGCCCCAATCAGTATGTGATAGTGTTTTAACATAATTCTGTAGTTGACGCCTATCAGTACTTGACATGGTTTTAATCATAATTATTTACTTGACGCCTATATATTTTGATACCTGTAATTATCATAGTTCTTCTTCTATGCTGTTTTGCATCCTGAAGTATGCAGAAATTCTACATTTTAATTTCATTCCATTTTTAATTTGAGCGCAGTAGGGGAGGTTGCTTCAATCATTTTTCTTTTATTTTTTGAACAGCTGTCTATGTCAATGTCATTAGGATGATTATATGAGCCGCGTCATGACAAAACCAACGTAATCCGTTTGCGACCAGCATGGATCCAGACCAGCCTGCGCATCCGC